ACATTATTTTCAAGAATGAAAAAAAAAAAAAAATGGCAAAAAAAAAAAAAAAAAAAGGAGAAAAATGGAAAAAAAAAAAAAAAAAAGAACTGTCACTTCACAATAGCGACGAGGGAGTTTATCCTCTATTTGCTCTCTACTCATTGTGGAAGATTATATATATATATATATATATATACATATATGAATTGACCTTGGTATAACTTGCCTATGGACATGCAACACCTTGTTACCAGTAGATGTGTAAAGATGTTGCCGTTATTTATTGTTATTGTTGATGTTGTTGCTGTTGTATTTATTTTGTTCTTTTTTTTTTCTTGTTTTTTTTATTCTTTTGCATTCTGTATCAAGAAGAAAACAAACAACGAAAAGAAGGAATGAATGAATGAAAAAAAGAAAGTATTCGTATACACAAATCATATCTATTCATGACAATCTCCACTATCCCTATATTCTCTGGAGTATTATTGCTCTCTGTATTTATCACTATGTTATATTATTATTATTATTATTGTTATTAATTTCTCTTTTGTTTCTTCATTTCTTTCTTTCTTCCTTTTATTTTTTATCAGTCATTTGTTGGAGTTAGAATAGTGGTTTCTTTTTTTCTTTTCTTTTTTTTTTTTTTTCTTTTGCGCTCATCTAACTAACTCGAGATGCAGACGCCAACCAAACGGGTGCCGACGGCTCTGAATGAAACTCCTCTCCAACGACCCGTCCCCTTCACAAATATCACGAATGCCGCTCCCACAACTGTACATGCGAGAAAAGGACCTTCACATCTCTGCAGTGCCACTATTCGCGCAGAGCCACGTGTAGTATTAACAACAGATGTTCTTTCCCCACCAGCCATAACGGTAACTTCAGAAAATGGTTCATGTACACCAAGAGAGAAAACTAAAGCTCCACCACCACCACCACCATCTAATGAGGATCGGGAACCGGGAAGTGTGGATAATTCCGTTTACTCTGAAGAACATACCGCTACTCCTGAAAAGAAATTACAGCCACGAAAATTTTTGCAAAAGTACCTTTATCTTAAAAACTTACACGTTTTACCGTCTACACCTGAACAAAAGAAGAAACAACAATCATCAACTCAATTCCGTCGACCAGTAAAAGAAGTATTGGTTGCAGCACCTACTTTATCTAACAGTAAGTGTAAAGAGCAAAAGAAGTTTGAAGATCCACGCCAAGGTTGCTTTGAAGAGTCAAATACACCTGGTCGCGTTGCTATTGAGATTTTATCGAGTAAAACTAAGAATAAACCAGGTACAAGCAAAAATTTAAACGACAATATAATTATGGGCAGAAATGGAAGAAGGATGTATCCAGAAAGAAAAATGGAAACTGAATGTTTAACTAGTTCTCCAGAAAGAAACTGTGAAGTTCCACAGCCTATTACACCGAAGCATCTATCACAGGATGTGGAACTTCCTCATACCATGGAAGAAGAAGAAGGTATGGATAGAATTCCAAATAATTTTACTAAACCTAATGGGGAAGGAAATGAAGATATTTTAAAAACCCCTGTATTGGAAGAATCTGGTAATCAAACAGATATTGTGGATATCAGTGCCATTTCTACCATTAATGATGAGGATATAGTTCTACAAGTTGGTGATTTTGAACCATGTCCTCCCTTTTCTACACCATTGGATGGTGTTCTTGCTGTTGCTAATGCACGGCGAGCAGCGATAGAGTTTAAAAAGGATGATATTTATATTCCAAAAGAATATGAAATAATGGATTTTAATAAGATATTTCTAGAGGTTTATCAACACAAAATGGAAGAGATGCGTTCAGGTAGCCAAGAAGGTATTTCAGAATCAATGGTTTCTCCTGAAGAGGCTCATTCTCGCAATTTAAGTGATTGTTTGACCGATCTTGAACTTTTTCTTTCAAATTATTATGATGAAGAGTTTGATATTTATAAATCAAAATTATTAGATATTGCATTTGATATCCTATATACACAAATGGTAGCCATTCCGGCGACTAGGATGTTGGAATATCTTGGACGCCGCCTTCTCTGTATGCAGCGAGATATTGCTATTCGAGGTATGATTGAACTTTTTGTCATTACATTTCCAAAGGTATATACAAACCGAAAACATGGGAAAGAATCCTCTCATAGTATTCGGGGTGAAAAAGGAGTATCGTTGCTGCGAAATAAAGAAATTTCCCCACGTTCTCGAACAGGTCGCAGTTACTCTACCTCTCACTACAGAAGAATGAGTGCTCCTGCTAACTTGAAAAATGTCCATAAGGACGTCAAAGATAAATACAGAGAAAAACCATCTGGGCAATCTCCCATTGGTGTAAGAGATTCTGGGAATACTGCTACTACTAATACTACTATGGGAAACCGAACTCCTTTAAATAAAAAGGGTAAATCTGAGAGACTTTCTGCTTATATGGTTGTAAGACCTGTCCCCCGTAAACGTACACCGAAGCCTTCCCCAAGGGATGAAGATTTTCTTAACCTTATCGATCAGAAATAATAATTGATGCAATTCAGGTTTGAAGGAAAGAAGGTATAGATTGATGTCTAGATAGATGAATAGATAAATAGAAAGTAGGAAAGAAGAAAGAAAGAAAAAGGGTAAAAGAACGAGAGGGAATCTGTTTTTTTTATCTTTTATTTATTTATTTATTTTTTCACCAAATCTACTCGTCACAATTTTAGTATTTTATTGTAAAGGTGATAATAAGGTCAACAAGAAGATGAACAATGAATCTATTGTTTTCAGAAAAGTATACCATTTACTTTGGGTTTTCTTTCTGACCTCTTTTTTTTTTTTTTTATTATTTACTTGCCCTTACTGTTTGTAAGTGATGGCATTTAGGCAGAGGTACAGGACAAGCTGTTGTGGGACAAGAACGAAAAAAGAAAAAAAAAATGCGGTGATGGTAGTATATTGTTGTGTTTAGAATATAAATATATATATGTGTTTACCATTATTCTAAGGACACAATACATAATTTGTTAAAAACAGGCAACTTTATTTCCACTCAGTAGTATAAAATAATCAAACAGGAGAAAAAAAAAAAACAAGTAATATCAGAATTATATTAATCTACATTAACAATATTTTCTGGAGTTTATATATATATATATATATATATATATAGTGATACACTGTTTTTTTGTTTTTCTTCCCCTTTTTTTTTTTGGAGTGGGTTAATTTAGTTTTTTTTTTTTTTTTTCCTTTCTGTAGGTGGGGTAGTGAGAAGATGTCAAAATGTGACCGTGTGGTCATCTTCTTAGACATTGATGGTGTACTTCTTCCAGTACCTCGCTTTACCTTTGGTGGGGGTGATTTATCTGAACAGAGTGTTCAGTTTTTTCAAAAAATTGTTGAGGGTTGTGGTGGGGCAAATAAGGTGATAATTATTCTCTCTTCTACGTGGAGAAATTTTCCTGAACAAGTTCAACGATTAAATAGATTCTTTGAAAAAGTAGCAGGAGATCATGTACCCCCAGTTACTGGTGGTACACCTAACGGAACTCCTAAAGTTACTCAAGTTACATATTATGCGGATGATTTATCAGAGCAACGGCTTGTACGGGATCGTGTGGATGAAATAAAACGATGGATTAACACACATATTCATGATTACCCTGAAGCTATTGGTGGGCGGTGGTTATCTATTGATGACATGCAACTTGATGTTGATGAACGTATGTGTGGACATTTTTTAAAAACTGAGACAGAAGTTGGACTTACAGAAGAAAGTGTTACTCGTGCACTTGATATTATTAAATTATTTCCAACTCCAGAAATAGCGGCCCAAAAGGCAGCCGCCGCGGCAATAGATCCCGTATTAAAAGATGAAGAAATTGAAATTTTAGAAACACGTTGTAGTGGGTTAACAAAAAGAGTAGAAGAATTAGAGGAAGAGTTACATCAAGCACGTGCTGAAATTCATCAACTTCAAATACAACGACGTGAATGGGAACGAGAACAAAAAGAGATGGGACGACGTTTTGAAGATGTTAGTTATCGTCTTGCCCAATATGACTTTGCGAAAAAGAATGATGTTCTCCGTCTCGCCCTAGAAGCTCTCACCACACCAACAGGAACAGGAACAAAAACAACAACAACAACAGGAGGAGGAAATGACCGTCGGGAGTTAGAACAACATATAAAGACACTGGTTAATCTCTTACGACGAAGACGGGAATTAGAGAAAACACTACGAAAGAGTCGAATGAAGGCAAAAATGGAAGAGAAAAAAGATGCTACCGCAAAGTAAGAAAGAAAGAAAGTGAGAAAAAGAGAAATTAAGAGGAACTATTATAAATGAGTTTATTATTATATTCATTATTATTATGCTCTCCCCACCGTGTCACCATACCCAAGTGGTTACGGGGACTGACTAGAAATCAGTTGCGATCTCGCGCGCAGGTTCGAATCCTGCTGGTGACGGTTTTTTCTCTTCACATTTCCTTTCCTTCCCTTTCCCTTTCCCTTCCCCACCCCTCTTCATTCTCAAGGTGAGGAAAAAGAGAAAAAATAAAACTCTTCAACATCTTAGTGTCTCTTGACTTGGTCAAGAGTGGGTTCCATCTCTGTTTGTCCATCAGAAAAAATATATATATATATAAAAGGAAAAATTAAATTACTATACTGTGATTTATCTGATATTTATCTTTTGTTTCTCATCTGATTTCTTTTAATATTTTTATATTTTTTTTTATTTATTTATTGGGAGTACTGTAAATTTAAAAAGAAAAAAAAAAAAAAACACAAAGAAAAAAGGGAATACAAAGAATAATAATTAAAGAAAAAAAGAGAGAGAATAAACCTTCTGTACCGTATATTTACTTAAGTTTAATGTCTACAACTAATTTCGTAAAGTTGAACGGTATATCTTCAGATGCAACTGCTAGAGATGTAGAAGAGTTTATGATGTACTGTGGTAGTGTTCGTACCGTTGTACTAACCGCAGATGCAATGAGTGAAACTGGTCAAAGTGCTATAGTTGAATTTGAAAATAGTAATGGTGTTGAAATGGCGCAACTTCTCTCAGGAGCAGTGTTTCAGCATCATGAGGTTCATATTGAGCCTTTTAATGATCAAAAAAAGAATGTAGAAACAGAAATAGGTGCGAGTACAGGAACGATTCCTACTGGTATTCCTACTACCACTACTACTACTACTACTGCTACTACTACAGTTCCAAATCCCGATTCCACTGAAAATTATAGACCACCGAGTCTTTTGCGATCTGCGATGGAGGCTATGGAAAAACTTCAAGAGCGCAAAATTTTATCAAAAGGTGGTAAACTTCTCAATCGACTTCGCGAAGAGGCTAAACAAGTTCCAAAAGGCATTTCTTCAGTTACTCTGCAAGTAATAGATAGTGTTGAGAGTAACAATGTTGCACCTGGTACAAAGGCAACACTAGATCAATGGGATTACATGCCTACACAACCACAATGGGGTAAAAAAGCTGAATGGGATGATAAATAAAACTCTCGTGTGTGTGTGT